ACGTGAAAGCGACGAATGCTGCTTGCTCGTCAATGGCTACCTGAGACGATTGGTCAAATGGGAGCAATCAGTGGGGCTCAAGGGAAGGGTGAACAGTCATAAATCAAGATACTCATGCCGAACACAATGCGGCTTTTGGAGGATATTGTTATTCCAGAGTGGATTCTGAAAAACTATTATTACATCGGACAGCAGCTTAGCGCGGAATTCTAACAGACGTTAGGGGTAGCGATGGGCCTGAAACAAAAATCGGTCCACCTGTGGTCGGCCAATGTAAATCTTCATTATGACAAGATCGCATCTTGACGTAGTGTGATGGCTTGCGTGCGATCAATACTGAATCGTAATTCGAAGACATTGCGTGACAGGTTTCTAGACGCTCCCGCGTTGGATCGATGCCCCACTGCCTTGTGGATCAGTCGGCATCTGAGGCTCTCGGTAGTGAGATTGCGCCGTGTCAAGGCCGAGGGTTCACTTCTCAACTGGATCTCGGTTAGTAGCCGACTTTGCGCTGTACGTCTTGATGGTTCAGTACCGGTCAACAGCTACAGAACGAAGCGTCGATGCTTATTTTTCGTATCAGTGTGCACCGGAATTTAAGGATGAATTCTACAACGAACTCTCTCAATTATTCTAGTGTCCGATCAACGAACGTCGTTGCAGTCGCTGGAAACTCAAGTGAGATCCATGGACGAATCAGAAAGGCTTCTTGGGAGTCAACATGCAATCTCAGCTAACCGGACGGAAAACGGGGATCGCCTACTTAAACTTCGGTGAACTAGCAAGTTTATTCCAGGTAAAGTCCCAAAGACGTCAGCTTACCTCCAGAGTACTAATTCGTTCGCATCCAACCACGTTGGTTAAACTACGTAAACACCGATAAGCGAAAACTTCTAGTTGATGTATATATTCTACTGGCAAATTCACGGTCTCGTCAACAGAAAGTATAAATAAAAGAACGGTAGACAAAAATACACGAAATTTTAACTTCAGTGAAACGTCACGTCTTCATCACACGTGTTTTGGTCCTGCGTACGCTGCTCGAGCCTTGGAAATGCGGGCGGTTGTCTCCTTTGATGCGCTACCCTCATTGGTCAAACAACTACATAAGCGTGAAGATAAATTCGCTATAACTAATTCGTGGCCATTTAGTTTCAAAGCGAGAGTAGGCAACTCAGTCTTGCAGCATCACCATCATCATCGTACAGCGAAGTACAGTGAAGCGAGCTTTACTGATCGCTACCAAGCCCACAATGTACACAAATCAAATGATAAAGCAAAGGATGGAGAAGGATTGGGCCTACTTGGAGGGAGGGAAAGAAAAAGAACAACACAGCACACAATCTAAGTGTTCATGCATACCTTTTTCAAGCATTCTGCCTTGTTAGGAAATGACAACAAGAGCGCCACTGCTGTCGGTTAGTCGCCATATCCTTTAGTGTCTCCAGCCAACCAGTTGTGCAGTCTTTCGGACCCCAACCTGGAAGGCGAGAGACACCTACTCTACCTAATGGCTCTTTGCATTTCTTCATGCCTTGTCTCCACGTCATCTGTTGACCACCACGTGGTTTCTTCAAACTTGGAGCCGTAACTGCGAATAAGGCGCGCTGCGGTAGACGATGGCTGGACATGCGCAACGTGTCCTAGCCAGCGAAGCCGACTAATCTGAATTCGATGGGACAAAGAATTCTCCATCGAATCATTACCAAATACGCGA